AGGTGTCCAGTTAGAATTAATGATGATGTTTGTGAATAAAAATGTAAAGTTTATCATCAATGACTTGTTAAAAATGCTGACGTGCAGAAATTACTCTTTTTTATGTGCAATTCACGTTGCTCACTACTGATTTATTCACTGTGAAACAGTATTAGAGCACAAGAGAAAAGTTTTGTTATTTTTCAACCTTTTTCCATCATTTCCCAACACTTTTTTATTTAGCAGAATTATTCTTTTGAAGGTTTTGTTTGTCAATACAGCACTAACCCTAGCCCTTGACTTTTGGTATGCCTTAAAATTTTTTTATTAAAATAAAATACAAGGAAAGATAAAGTTAAAATAAAATTAAATAAAATAAGAAAGATAAATTAAAAAATAAAATAAATACAAATAAAACTTAAAGTAAGAAAAATAAGTGAAAGAATGAAATACAATTACAAAAAATATATAAAAATTTCAATTTGTACAATTTTTTGTGGATCTAATTTAATCTAAAGGTTGTAAAAAAAATTAAATAATATTGTACAACAACAGAAACTGTTACACCAGGCTGCTAGCGACAAGAGCCACTATACCAAGTTTCCAAAATGTCATAGAACATTCTCAGTTTGTGTCAGCGTCTCCCTTTCACGTCTCTTATGCTCGAACATTTGTGTGCAATTTCCTCTCAGAATAGTCTCCAAATGGTTGTGGGTATTCTCGATTTTGTGCGTGAAATTCAAAAAGTTTGAGAAATGGGAGATAACATTGGAAGAGGCTTGAGAAGAAATGAAGATAACTACTCAGAATTAAATGCAACAAAGACATTTGTAACCTAGTTGCACAAATGTTGCAAACAGTTTTCAGTCACAACTCTAACATATAAAACTTGGCAAAAGCACCATTAGGTTGATTCTAAGCCAAATGTTGCACACTTCTGATAATTTTGCATCTTCAACTGGTCACCATCAGCTTCAGACCAGTTGGAGACTGATTTAAGGGTAAAAAAAAAGACCAATCTCACTCCTCCGAGGCATTGCAGTGTTTTATATGACGTTATAAAGGCTTGGTGCCTTTAAAATCAATCAGAATATCACATTTCATCTAACTTACCACAATTACGGACCTATCTCTCCTGCAAATCTTTATTTTTCTTCTTTTAGACACAATTGATCTAGAATGAGATGCATGAAAATGGTATCATTCATATAGACTTAAAAAGCATAGACGTCACTGAAGGACACAGATCCAGTCACCAGACATAGATGCTGCATTCTGAAATATAAATGATGATCAGAATTTTTAAACATTTCAAACGTGATTCTGCAACCTCCGCCCTTTCTTCTTGGTTTGAGACATTCCCAGTTACATCGAGGACAGCGATCCGGGCCGGGAAAACGACCTCAACCCAGAACATTCCCATTACCGCGTTTCTCACGTCGAGTCATGGTGGCTGAAAACTTGTTTTTGTTCCAGAGTTTCTGTTGATCTAGCTAAAAAATAATGACTTTCTATGTTGTTTATTCAATAATTAGTTTGTGGGACTTATCAAACACACGAAAGATTTTGATCAGTCATAAATGGTGTTTGCACCATCTTCTGTTATAAAGCACCATTTTTGTGTAGAAATAATTTCTGGTTTCTATTTGGAGTCAGTCACACAACCACAAACCTCCGGCTCTGAATACTCAGCTGCAAGGACAATTAGTGACTTTTTCATTAGAAATTGAGCTGACTTTAAAGTATTTAGAAAAATTGTAAATAAATAAATAAATAAATAAATAAATAAATAAATAAATAAATAAATAAATAAATAAATAATAATAATAAGTTGTTTCAGTAAACTTTTTTGTCATTTATTTTTGTCTAATTCCAACAAAAACAATACATATTGGTTCAAATTTGTTGCATTTTAAGCAAAATTTGTGATAAAACAGACTTATTTTCATGTTAATTATATGTTTTTTATAAGCCGTGTTCCAAGTTTTAGATGCTGCTGCAACATGAAACCTCGTTTTCCCCTGAGTGGACGAGCTCCAGCCTCCGACTCAGCCGATCAGATCGACCAGATGACCTCAATATCCTAGTCCATCAGATCAGAACATCTAAATGTCTGCTGGTTTGTTGTAGAGGTGTCATTAAGGCTCCTGGTTGAATGGTTTTCCCAGGTCCTGAGCCATTAAACTCCTGCTCAACTCATTTCTAAGTGGCTTTTTCACGTGAAAAGCGCCACTTTTGACAGGTTTTGGTCCACTGTGCAGCTCCTGCAAGGCATTTAAAGCCATATTCCTCCAAGCAGGACATTTCCATGCTGAGTTATGGGATGTGGACTTAAACAATTAATATGTCAGTTCACGCTCAAGTGGGCGTTGAAGTACACATGAACAGAAAACATGTTGAAACATTTTCCTTAGTGCTCTGCTGAAACAGCTTAGCTGGTAGGACTCTTCACTAACTGCCAGGTTGAATTATAGAGGCTCCAACGGAAAAAAAAAAAACGCTTTAATTGTTGTATGAATATGCAATCGTCCCTCGATCTTGGGCCTGAAATCAATCAAGCAGACATTCAGTGGCTATTCTGAGCCTCGCCACCTGCCCATTCATATTCATCTGTGGAATAAGGATCCGTTTCTTCCTTACTTCAGCAGTAAAACCTGCAGATCTTACTCCAGAATTTCTGTATTTACCTCTGTTTGCGGTCAAGTGGATGAAGCACATCTGCATCATATTTATAATTGCATTCAACAGTATAAACAGATGGTTTGCTCATCTTTTTTTGTGCACTTTTCACATAAATAATGGCAAAAGCTTAACTTTTATAGCTTCCTCACTCTTTAAAAATGGTTTCATTCAGTTAAAAAGTGATTTATGCAGCACTTACGGTC